TGGATTAACACATAGTCTACAGGCACACACCTGATCATGTACATTTGCTCTCTTACAGCACTAAACTATGTTTTCTACCTTTATCTTGCATCTACCTACCACTTCAGCATTTTATTTAAGAATAATAATAATAATAATAAAGGGAGAAATGTGGGATTCACATATAAATCAAGTATAAAAATCAAATGAATATTCATATTTGACCTGATTCTTTATATAAGTTCATAATGAGTGATCAAAATGGAAAGTTTTTGTCATGACTGCCCTTGTACTGTTCACCATGTAAGAACTTGTTCATTATGCTTCAGAAGATTGGAGACTGACAAGAATTAGGCTGGGGGTGGATTAATTATTGTGCATTGAGCATTGACTCCCCTATACAGAATTTTATTGTTGTTAACAACCATTTGATAATAAATATGAGAGACACTCTCTCAAAAAAAAAAAAAAGGACAGTCTGTTACCTAATGGATGTTCATATAAAGTGGCTTTTATTCTTATGAGTGATACCAAGGGTTTTAACTTTAAATTTTCCTAAAAAGATTGACTTTTTTGTTGTTTAAGCTAATTCCTGATCAAAATTTCAACAAGAAGGCATTAGAAGGGACACAGGGAAGCTTTTGGAGACAATGGATGTGTTTATTACCTTGACTGCAGTGATGATAATCATGGTATGCCTATGTCCAAACCCATCAACTTGTGTACATTAAATATGTATATTTTTTGGTTTATCAATTATATCTCAATAAAGCTGTAGAAACACTTCCTACACATTCTTCGCAAGAGCTGTTCTACGAAGTCTGTCTTCAAAGACTGCAAACACAATCTTCATAGGTTCTCTATCAATTCCATTGACGTCACTTCCTAACAGCAACAAACCATACACATGAAAACCTGAAAAACCAAAAGCCAACAAACAGAAAAATCTCCTCCCCAAAATCTTTCACCATGACACATTAATAAGAACAGTGATGGGAATGAGGGGGGCAAAGATAAAGAACCAAGACACAAATCGGTGCTCAACAGGGACTTGTGGAAGGAGTGAGTAAGAGAATGAATGACAAAGGGAAATAAGAGGGTGGGTGTGATCATCCTGGTGGCACCCTTCCACACCTCTGTGTCTTTGATCCATAATCCAAAAGTGAATCAGGGATTATGCTAATAAAGGAAATCAGATGCTGGTGGGTGGCCTCAAGCCCCTCTGCTCAGTTCCAGGAGTGTCTGGGCCCCAGATGGACCTAGAAGTAGGAGAAGATTGCCTACACCCTCTACCCGTTGCCTTTTCTAAAGAGATAGAGACAGACACAAGGTTCTGAGCTGAGTCTGGGGTGACAATCCCCCTTCTTGTCCCACAGGCTGAGCCCAGCCGAGGCCCCAGAGGAAGAGGAGGAAATTGTTGCCCAGTTTCCTACTTTTCTGTGAAGTTGGAGTTGGGTTGAGCCAGATTCATTCTGGGAAGCCCTGAATCTTCAGGGAGGGAGCAGTTGAGAGGAAAGAGGGAGGGAAGGGGAGGAGCCTATGATAAGACATTTCTTTTCGCTTCCTCTTTTGGACTCCAGAATTTGCCTGTCCTCTGGGGTGGAATCCATCAAGGCTCAGGAGAAACCTGGGCTTCTGTGCTGCTGAGGTCAGAGCCAACCTGTCCCAGGAGCCCATGGGGGTCCTCTCATCCCTGCCCCTCCCCGCTGCTGAGAGCGACAGGGCTGAGGGCACACCCTGCCATCCTGTGGGCCACACGCTCCTGTGGACAGCTCTGCTATTCCTGGGTGAGTCAGGGTGCCCAGGAGGGGCAGAGGAGCTGGAACAGGGGCAGGTGCACCATCCCAACTCAGCTGCTGCCACCTTGGCTGTGACCGAGCTTGGCCAAGGATGAGGGGTGGCACGGGAGGCATGTCAGGGAGGTCAGGAGGGGGAGGCAGGCTCATGCAGATCGAACTGACAAAGCTGCTGGCCTTGGCGCATTATGAAACTGGCAGCATTTTTTTAATGTCTTTTGCCCAACCTCACTGGGCATGCAGGCCCCTGATGACCTGCCACCCTACACATCAGAACCTGCTGAAGAGAGTCTAGTGACCTAGACTTTATGACGAGTGAGTGGCCAGGGTGCTTCCCTTCCTGAGAAATCTGTATGTCACAAGAACCAAACCATAGCCGGGAGGCATGATGCTTAGCCGACGGGTGGGGAGGAAGCCACGGGACACATTTTGGGGGGCAGTGGCCTTTCTCTGGGCTCCTGAAACCTCTTCAGGCGGCAGAAGCCTATTTTCTTCGTGTGGAGGGAGATATCCCCGGGAGGAAGGACAAGAGGGTTTGGGTCACCCAGCGAACTGGGGCTCAGAGAATACACAACCCGGGAAAATCGGGCACCATCAGCTGTGAGACCGGAGGTATCATGGGGGCCTCCTTGCACTGCGCAGACATGGGGACGGGGCCTGGCACTGCTCAGGGAAGGGATTTACGGGAGGACACCTAGAGGAGCCCCACTGCCGGGGCTGTCCCCCAAGCTCAGTCCTCGGGCTCCACCCTCAAACCCACCTCAGGATGGCCCCCGAGGCAGACGTGAGGCCTCTCTCCAGGTCATGTGCTGTGACCGAGAGTAACTGGCTGGCTCCGGGAGCCCTGGCTCTTAGTGCTGGGTGGTTCTGGCCCAGGAGGGAGAGGTGGGGAACCGAGAGTATTCCCCGATGAGCAGGAGGAACAGACGGAAGACGGGCGTGCAGAATGCGCACTGAACAACCTCATATCCCCCGGGGGGAAGCCCAGTTCTAGAGAGGCCGGATGCTTCTCTGTCAGGGCCAACAGAGCTGCCAACGTGCTGGTCACCTGGGCATGGCTCCTGCAAGAGGCTTTCAGTATTTCCTTCCATTTGCCCTTTTGCAAAATCACCAAGGACTTTTCCCATCTTTTCTTACCTGCACTCCCCCACCCCCATCTGCACCATCAGTCTCTGCTGCTGGCTCACAACTGAGAATATGGTCAGAAAATAGCCCTCCTTCTTGGCCTAAGACCCTAATTTTCTCCCCTATAAATGCCTTCCGTGCTCCACTGCCTGCTGAATAAGCCCAAATTCCACCCTGCTAACATGTTCCCATTACCCACAGTGGCAACCTCTCTACCAGGCAACATGTGCACTGCCCTTTCTCCTTTCCACAGATTCCACAAACTGCCTATTTTAAACATTGAACAAATTTAAACTGCTTAAACATTAAATAAATTGCTATGTGTAGTCACTGTCCTGGGACTTGGGGATTTACCAGTGACCAAGACAGAGAGCCTCCTGACCCAAAGTACAAGGTCTTTGTCTCCCTCACAAGGACTGTATTAGGTGTGACCATATTTAGTATTGGCTGCTATTTGTTGAATGTGGAATGGATAAAAGGCAGGTGACTTCTCTCTCCTTTTCTCATCTCTTTCTTGTGTCTTCTCTTCCTCCTCTTCTCAGTCTCTCCTTCTCTACCTGCTCTCCTGCTGTGCTGGCCTCACTGCCAATGCTGTGCACCGAGCTTTCCAGCCATGACTTCTGTCAGTAACTTCCGAACCTCTCTCCTGCTTTTGTGAGCTTTATATTTCCATCCACCAGGTGAACACTCCAAATTGATCTGCTAGCTCAGAAACAAAATGTTCTCAAAATCCAACTTATCATCTCCTTCTAAATGTTCTTCTCCTTCTAACATTTATACTTGTGTGAGCACAAATAACCTTTTTCCTAGTCAGCCACTTACATCACCCCCCACCCAACTCATCAAGTGCGAGTTCCGCCTCTTAACCCTCGGTCCTGTCCATGTCCTTGTCTTCACTTGCTACTGTCATACAACTCTGGGTTGTCTTATCTCCCACCTAGACTCATTCAACAAGTGATTTCCAGAGCATTAACAGTACTATTATGATGGCTATTGCCCTTTTTCAGTTTATATTCTACTAAACTAACAAAGGCATACATATGAATTGGAAAGGGCCTTTCAAATATTTACATTTCATTTTAAGAGCAAAGGAAGGTCACTGAATGCTTGTAAGCAGGGGTCTGACATTATCTATTTGATATTTTAAAGACAGCCCAAGCTTCTGTGTGGGAAATGAATTGTAAGGAGGACAAAAGAAGTGAGGACACCAGTTGGGAGGGGGAGAAAGCTGGTGGCAACCTAGACCACCACAGTGGTGGCGATGGACATGGAGTGAAGTTCAAGATCTAAGTTGAAAGCAGAATCCACAGGGTATGCAGGTGTGAGGGGGATGGGGTTTGGGAGAGAGAGAGGAATAGAAGATGACTTGCAGCTCTCAGGAGTGAGGAAGTGGGTAGATGGTGAAGACAGGCACTTATCTGGGGAAGACTGGGACGGAAATACATGCTTCCAAAGGCTGGAGTCAGCTGAAGTGAGAGGGGACCAGAAGGCGGCGGAGTGGGGAGTCGGTGAGCGTCGCAACCAGGAGAGCAGGTTTACTAGAACAAAGGGTCAGAATGGCAGTTTCGTTTCTGCTGAATATGGTGACCATAAATTTACAGCCACACCAACCTGCCTGCTCGTGGGGCCATTTCAGTAACACGCAGCTGGACCGTAGAGGCATGGAAAATGCAAGTGGATTTCATGGAGACAGGGAAAAGCAAGGGGATCAAGGGGCTTTGCAAGGAGGTGATTCATTCACAGTGCCGAACCACGAATCCGAACTCCAGGCTCATCTTTGCTTTCTCCCTTACAGCTCCTGTGGCTGGGACACCTGGTAAGTGCTCCCCCGCACCCTCTCCCCCGCCGGCTCCCCTCTCCCTCTGCTCCCAGCACCTGTCTCGGGGTGTCCTGAATGCACCACTCACCCAGAGGGAGGCAGAGCCAGGCAAGAGTAATTGCTCCCAGAAGATGCTCCGCACCCTCTCCTCCCAGGGAAGCAGGAGAAGCGCAGTCACGGGGCACCGGTGCTTCACATCTGCTGGTCCTGTTATGGCAGGAGGTTGCGGGTATCATCCCAGAAAGTACCGAAGTCCCCGAATCGCCTTCCTCTCTCTAAATAAAATCAAGAGCCAGGCAATTTTAGTTTCAGCTGCTTAGGTTGTCCCCGTGTAGTGGTGCCCTGTGTTGGGGTGTCTGGTTGAGAGGAACCGCCTTCAGCTGCAGGGCAGTTCTGGGCCGAGTCCTACCCCTGATGTCCCCAGCAGGACTGCAGGTGTTCACTGTCTGGAATTCGGGGGTCCGCTTAAGCTTTGGGGTCCCCTTTCCTAATGTGCCTCCTCTCTCCGCCCCTCAGCGGATCTCCCGAAGGCCGTGGTGGACCTCAAGCCCCCCTGGATCAACGTGCTCAGGGAGGATTATGTGACTCTGAGGTGCCAGGGGGCCCTCTCGCCTGAGGACTCCCCCACCCAGTGGTTCTTTAACGGGAGCTCCATCCGGACCCAGGTCCGGCCGCGCTACAGCTTCAAGGCCAGCAGCAGCCACAGCGGGGACTACAGGTGCCAGACGGACCAGACCAGCCTCAGCGACCCTGTGCATCTGGACGTGATTTCTGGTCTGTGCAGGAAGGGCGGGAGGGTCTGGGAGGACAGGGAGAGATGAACTGCTTACAAGGCAGGGGATTTTAGGAAGTGGGGGTGGCCTGTTCATAGGGAAGCATCGCTGTGAGCTGTTTGAAGTCGTTTTTGTCCACTCATTTCCCTTTTCACCAACCCCCTCTGTTTGGTACTGTGATGGGGTGGAAGTTCTAAGATTCCTCAGAATGGTAGGCTGTTTTGCCTCATTCCTGGCTGAGCAAGAAGGTTAAAAGGCCACCGATAGGCAGCTGGAGTGTGACAGAAGCAGAAGGAAATTTCCACTTCATGAAAACCTGCTTTTGTGGCACAGTCGAAAAGCATAGGCAGATATCCTGGCCCTGGAAATTCCTGGCCATGGAAACATCATGAACCCATGTATCCTTGAGTCCCAGTTTCCTCATCTGCTCAATGGGATACTATTGCGTCTGTCATCAGTTCTGGTGAGAACCGGCACCTCCCTGCCCTCCTGCCCTCCTGCCCTCCGTGCAGCCCTACGTGAAAGTGGTGTAACTGTGTTGCAGGGCTTCAGAAATGTCTGCTCAACTGCTTCATGGTTGTAAAAAGCTCCTGGCCAAAAGTAGTTTCTCCATAAAGAAGAGGTACAAAGTGATTCATGAAAATTATCACTGTTACTCTTTGCTTAGTCCACTTCCCTCACCTGATTCTCAAACTTTCCTCCAAAGTACACAGCAGGCCAGGTGGGCTGGCACCGCTGTCCTGAGGCTCCCGTGCCACCCAGCAGGAGGTGACAGGCCTGGGGGAAGCCCCAGGGGCCCAGCAGAGCTGGGACCTTGGTGCCCCACCCTTCCAGGAAGGGGGGATCTGAGGGACCCCCGCCACCCACAATGAGTACGTCGGTGGGCGGTGGGGGTGGGTTGTTACTTCTCTACAAGGCTTCCCCGAGGTCGTGGAGGAGTTTGGTTCCCAGGAGACAGAAGGAAAAGCCCTTTTACTGCTCAGAGGTCACCTAATGAGAGCCTTGAACATAAAGCTGGGCCCTGCCCTCAAGATCTGCACCAAGATAAATGTCCTCAAGGAGACCTAAGGTGACTGTCCAGCAGGGACCGGCCCAAGGCAGATGGTCCACACTGTCCAGTGAGAACCTGGCCCCAGCAGATGGTGCAGGGAAGCGCAGGCTCTTCCAGTGCCTCACACCTCCTGCAGGGGGGACACCGGGAGGGATGAGATGCCCCAGAGCTGGTTGCTGATGCTGCATGGCAGCAGTTTTGGCATTTTCTGGGGTTCTGCCTGTAACAATCCTTACAGTTCTCGGCATTCCCACCTGCCCTACTCCAGTCTTTATAGAAGAGATGATCTAGGGGAGCCGACTGCTCAGCCTCACCCTGGAGTGGAGTGTCTCGCGAGGGGGCCAGTTCTCTAAGGGGAGGAATGGGCAGGACGGGAAGGCAGGGCATGTGCGGAATGCAGGTGTGCCTCCCCGGGGGAGACGAAGTGTTTTCCAGCTTGTGTGACACAAGTAGCAAGATCTGGTGCTCTCTGCCCTCCCTCCCTCTGGACTGTCGCACTGCAGCTGTGGCTCCGACTTTTCTCTCTGTTCCCACTCACTGCCTCGGTACTGAACAATTTCTCCTGCACCCGCGGCTGGTGGGTCACCAGGGGGTTAGAGACTTGGTTGGCCGTGCGTATTTGCTGCAGGGACTAGGAGTGACTGGCACACGTGTGGCTGATGTCATTCTTTCTGTGCCCCCTGCTTCCTTTCAGTTTACCTGGTATCTGCTTCCCTACCTTTGTTTCCAATAACAACTCTGCTGTGGGCTATAGCTTTAGAAAAAAAGGCATGTATGGGCTGAGGTCAGGAGTAGGAGAATGCACCTTATTCCCTGTACAATAGGCTTTATTTCCTATGCAATAAAAATTCAATATTTTTTCTTTATCAGTAGAAGAATGAAAATTGTGGGGCTAATATATGTACCTAGCAGGCTAATGACCCATCGTGACCCTGGTACCTTCAGACAGAGACCCTGCTGAGGCTGAGCCACCCAGTAAGCTAGTATTTGCTGCTGTCCATTACTTCCTGCTCTCCCCAAGGACACCCTTCTCTGCTGCATCCCCCTCACGTGCTGTCTCCCACGTCAGAGCAGATGCCTCTCTCCTGCACCTCAGTCTCTTGTCTCCTTCCTGCAGGGGCCTGTTGGGCAGGGCAGGGCTGTGCCTGCCTTCTCCCAGGACTGGAAAGAGAACATGAGCATATCCTGAATACCTGCTGTGTGCCAGAACTACTGTAGATGCATGGTATTATTATGCCCATCTTCTTGGATGAGGAAACCGAGGCCCAGAAGAGTTAAATCACTTTCCCAAGTTGACAGGGCTCATAGATGATGGGGCCAGAGTTAGAGACCCAGACTGTCTGATTCCAAGCCTAAGCTCTTCCCTGCGCACATCAGGTCCCATCCCCAAGGATGGTCTATGTCTCAGAGTTGAGCCAAGAGCTCCCGGGTCCTGTGGTCCATTTGTGTCTTTCAGACTGGCTGCTGCTCCAGACCCCTCGCCTGGTGTTCCAGGAGCCAGAGCCCATCCTGTTGAGGTGCCACAGCTGGAAAAACAAGTCTCTGTACAAGGTCACATTCTTCCAGGACGGAAAACCCAGGAAATTTTCCCATATGAATTCCAGCTTCTCCATCCCACGAGCGAACGTCAGTCACAGCGGCTCATACCACTGCACCGGGGTCATAGGGCAGATGCGGCACTCATCCCGGCCTCTGACCATCACTGTCCAAGGTGGGACCTCTGTAAGGGTGGGAAGGAGGGAGACGATTGAAGGACAGTTAGTGCTAGGGTCATATGGGCCCACATGTATGTCTGGAAAATGGCCACAGCAGCAAAATTGGGCTCTGGATCAAAGAGGAGAGGTATGAGGTCCTTGTTAAGTATTGGCACGTCGGTAGGAGTAGGGGTCGCAGTTCAGAGTCCTCAGCTACCAGGTGTAAGTGAAAAGGCTATGGGCCACTTTTTCATGCAGGCCCCACCCTTAGGACAGCAGCTGAGCAGAGCTCCCGTACTGCTGCGTGGATTTCCTAAGAACTGAGATTTTCCTCGTTTCTTCTCAGTGCTCAAGGGCCTGTTCTTTCCCAAAGACATGGCGTGTTCCCAGCAGTGCCGGGCTATGCCGGATCCAGACGTCATGCCTCTAACTATGGGGGGCTCAGGTCCCTCTCTCTTCCACCCCTGAGTGCTAAGAGGAACCCTTCTTAACACTGCCCTACGCATTCAACATTGTGCCCTTCTTAAATTCGTGGGGAATTTAATCTGGGTAGAGGGGAGGCACAAGGCCACACACAACGATTCTGCGCAGGGAGGAGGTAAGGTTGCAGCTGTGAGTGATCCAGACACGATGCACAGGACTAGAGGGTCGGAGGAGGGTGAGTGGGGTGGAGGTGGGTAGGGCGAGTACTGCCTGTCCTGAGGTCTGTCTTCCCCAGGGTCCAGCTCGAGCCACTCCTCGCTGGTGACGATAGCTGTGGCTGTGGTCATAGGGATTGCCGCAGTGGCCACTCTTGCTGCCATAGTAACCTGGCTCCGTCTCAGGCAAAAGCGGACTTCAGGTTTGTGGCATCTCTCGGTCCCTCTTGTCATCAGTTTATATCTGGCCAAGGCGCTAACCTGGAACAATGCCAGAACCCTTATCTTCGGACTAGAGAATCCTTAGCATTCAGATACAGCCCCGTATTTTATTCAATAATTCATTTAATAATTCATTCATTCAGTAAGGCTTGAACAAACTCGCTTAAGTGTGAAGCACTGTGCTAGACACCACGGATGATACCAAGAAAAAGAAGTTCTATCCCTTCCCTCAAGGAGTTCACAGTATTGTGGGGAAGACAGAAGTTAAAAAAAAAAAAAATCATTATAATGTTGGAATGAGGGTGATGTTAGAGAAATGCAGAAATGCACGGGCTATGATGAGGAGAGAAGACCCCACAAAACCCAGCCTTGGCTGGGGCAGTTCGAGCGGTTTTCATGGGGAGGCAGTGTTGTGTAGTGACTGAAGCACACGGTGGGGCCCGGACTGCCTGAGTTCCAGTCTCAGCTCCAGTGCACCAGCCGCATGCGCCTGGGTGAGTGAGTCAGCATCCCTGTGCCTTAGTGTCTTCATCTGGAAAATGAGGATGTCACAGAACCTACCTCTTGGGTTGTTCCAAGGATGAACAAGGGTGTCACAAAGATGAAGCTCTTATAACCGTGCCTAGTGCCTAGCGAACAGCATGTAGGTATGAGCTGCTGTTGGGATGGAGCAGGTGATGTGTGTGGGCAGCAGTTAGCCAGGCATGGGGACCACAGCTTGGAAGTGAGGAAGATTGTGGCTTAGATGGGAGTCAGGGGAAGACGCAGGAGGGGGCTGTAAGCAGCTTCATGCCCCTGAAGCCATAAATCGCAAGGCAGGAGAGGAGAGATGGGGCACAGCAGAAGGATGGGCAAAGGCTGGAGACCATGTAAGCTCATGAAAGAACTGAGCTGTATCCCAAGGGGGCTGACAAGAGCCTGTGGGGGGAATGGGGGGGCAAGAAGCCAGGCTCTTCCTTCTTGGCTTCCCCCAGCACCTAGCACAGTGGTTGCCACACAGCAAGAGGCTTAATGACATTTGTTCACTGACAGATCAGCTAAAGAACTTCCACTCTTGGAAAGCAGCTTCTTTCCTCCTTTGTCCTAATGTAAAAGAGCTGAGAGAGATGGGAAGGTGCTATAGAAATCCATCTAATATGCAAATTATCACAGCTCATCACACTGTAAAGCCAGCTGGCTAGAGAGTTAAAGACACCTAGGGAAAGGAAAGGGGAAAAGTAGCCATTGAGAAACAGAAAATAATACTACTAATACCTCTCAAAGCATTTTGCAACCAGTTCTTAGCCAGGACCTCATGATCATAAGTAAATGATGATAGACAGATGAGATAGATAGATAGATAGATAGATAGATAGATAGATAGATAGATAGATAGATGATAGGTAGATAGATAGATAGATGATAGGTAGATAGAGAAAGAGGTGCTTTTTAAAGGCAGAGCAAGCCTTAATAGGTGCAGTGGAGTGGCCTTCCTGGCAGTCCCAGGAGTCTCCACGGTTAGCTTAGCAGACCTGTGGGTCTCTGGACCAGCCCTGTTACAGGCCAGGGCACTCCCTGTTTGGGAGAGCCGGGGAGTGGAGAGGAGAGGAGGGTCTGTGCGGGGCAAAGGTCTGTGTTGATTCTAGCCCAATCCTGTCCCTGGCTTGAAGACTTAGGGCACCCCCCATAATCCTACTAACCTCCAATGTGCCCCTCCTAGCTCTCCTAGGAACCCCTGAGAGCAGGGAAATGGGAGAGGCCTTCCCTGAGGAGCCAGGTGAGTGCAGCTCCCCCTTGGGGACTCATGACACCCCACCTGGGGCTGCCAGACGGACTGACAGCAAGAAGTGGCTTGTGTGAGTTCAGCTGGGAGCAGAGGAGAGGGAGGGGGCAGTGGGAGGAGGGCGGGGGCTCAAATTGCTTGGTCAGTTCTGAGACTAACTCCTGGGCCGAGAGAGGACCTCACTGGGGATGGGAAGAGGCAGGCCTGTCCCGGATGGAGAGTGAGGGCCACATCCAAGGGTCTGAGGCCAGGAACCCTGGGGATGCCTCCAGAGCCAGGAATCCTAGATGTGTGGGTCCTTCTGTGGGGCTTTGGCAGAGCTGGTACACGAGGGTTAGAAGCTAAATCTGAGGTAAATAGGATTAAGGGAGTGTGGGATTCTAAGAGGAAAGGAGAAGGGGCCTGGGGAATAAGCACTGGAGTGCAGTGAAAGGGGCAATGGTGTTGGGGCTCAGCTCTTACCGGAATGTTAATAGATGACGTGGGCTTGGTGTTCTGGGGAACTAGGTCAATCAGGGGGCTTTACCACTTTGTGGGCAAAGTTGGGTTCTGATGCCCACTTGTGTAGGTTTAGTAGACGTGGGCCTGGCCCCAGCTCTGTCACCACTGTACAGTGGAGCCTTGAGCATCATTCCCCACCATGAGGTTTAGTCGCCTCATTGAGGAAATGAGGCAGTCGGCCTGGACAACCTCTCAGCCCTTCCAGGCCTGACATTCTGAGAGTCAGTGACCATCCAACCCCTGGTCCAGGAGGTGGGCGGGCTAAAAGGAGCAGGTATTCCGGGCAACTTCCTGGCTGTAGGTAAAGCCAGGGCACAAAGATCCTGGCACTTTCTCTGGAGCCCCCAGACAGCAGAAATGGGCAGGAAAAAGAGGCCCTCGAGGACCCCACCTCCTATGGCTGGTTGGAGCGTGACTCAGAGCTGATCCAACAGATTTGAGAGCTTGAGCAAAATGGCACCTGTCCAGCTGCGCTTTGAGCAAGGCCTTTATGTCCCTTGGCCAGGCCAAGTGGGGATACGGGCCTGAGTCCGCACCACGGCCAAACCAAACACAGCTGGATTGGCCACTCTGATGCTTGATTCTGTCTACACTGGCATAAATATATTGCCCACAGCATTAATTTCACAGCCAGCCAGTGGAGCCGATGGCTTCCCAAAAGGCAGAGCTAGGTCCTGGGATTGTTGAGGGATGCATGCAAAGGAGAATTCAGAATGTGGTTTGTCCTAGAATTCCGAGCATGGCACACAGGGGCCCTTTGTGTCCGCGGGATGAGTGAAGAGACTAGATGCATTGTCTCAGACTCCCTCCCCACTTCCTGAGGAATGCGGCTTTGCAAATACTGAGGCTGCTTTTTACGCTGGCAAAGTGAGTTCATTGACAAAAACCAGGAGGGAATGCGGTGTGTTTTAGATACTCACCAGGGAAAGTACTGGCTAGGTGGCTGGCTTCCTTCTCTCCTTCCCTCCAACCTCCTTTACTCACTCTCACTGTCTTTCTTTTTAATGTCGTGCAGTATCAGATTCCTCCGAGTCCCAGCAAAGACACACGACATGTGGCCAGTGTGGAAACTGGCCTTTTATCCCTGAAGTCTGACGCTGGCAAAAATCTGGACTTTCCTTTGCCCTGCCCCTGACCACCCCTCACCTCTTCCCCAGTATGGCAGATTCCCCGAAAGCTTTCTTCTAGGAAAACGCGGCAGCTCTCTGAAAAGAATGCGGCACAGATGATTGCTCCCCTTTGCCAGTGTGGGGGAGGCCGTGTCTGCGGCACGGAGGGCGGGCGGCGGGCAAAGCGCTTGGCCTGCGGGCCTGAGCCGGGGTCAGCCGTCCTGGCCTCGGGTCTGCTTTGGGCTCTGTTTGCAGCTTCAGCAGCAGCGCAGGTAGGCCCTCTTCCGTGGCAGTGCCCTCCCTGACCTCTGCCCTCTTTGCCCACAGCCCCTCTCACTGACGCCGAAGAGGCTGCCAAAAGGGAGGTAAGCCTGCCCCGCCATGCCCTCCTCCTCTCTTCCCCTGGTGCCCCTTCCGTCGCCTCCGTCCTTGACTTCTCTGTGGCCCGTCACTGCTTCCTCCTGTTTTCTCCAGGCTGAGAACACCATCACCTATTCCCTTCTCATGCACCCAGAAGCGCCAGAGGAGGAAACCTCAGATTACCAGAACCACATTTAGTGTCCTCTGTCTTGCCCGACTTGGGGAAGAGAAGCGGAGAGGCCAGGACCGCTGTCTTCCGGCCTCGGGGAGGTCAAGGGGACCCCGCAGTTGCAGAGAAGGCCTCTTCCAGAGTTCTCCACGTGTCCCCTGAAGCTCCCTGTCCTGAAGGCCGCAGAATATACGACCCAGATGACTGACTTCCGATTCCTTCCATGCCTCAGCCCTTCTCGCCACCCAGACTCCTCTCCATGTGCACGCAGCCAATAAAAATTACTTTTATTAAGAGATTGTAGCAACGTGGGAAGTACTTATGTTACAGGTTACATGAGAACAATTATAGAAGTATATATGATTTCAGAAATGTTGACACAAACGAACATATTGCCAACAGAGTAAAAGGGGTTGTTTCAGGGTGATAGAATTATATGTGCTTTTCATTTTGTTTTTCTCTACAGATTATGTATTACTTCTATATTACAGAGGCACAAAATCTCGATCATAATATAAATAAATCATGGGGATAAAAGTACAGCATAGAGAATATAGTCACTAGTTTTGTAACATCTTTCAAGGTTGACAGATACTAACTATACTGGGATGAGCATTTAATAATGTATATAACTGTCGAATCACTACATTGTGTACTTGGAACCAATATAATATTGTATATCAACTATACTTCAATAAAAATGAAAAAATGAAATTCTATAAAAACAACATTCCCTTCATCTTTTAAAGATTGTATTGTTTGGAGTGTAGACGGATCTGGGGTCTGTTTCCTTTCAATGATACACATCTTGGGAAGGTAGTAATGGGTAGGAGGTAGAGGAGAGGAAAGATTTGGAGTGTGGAGTGAATATCCCTCGTCTTAAAACGGAATACTCTACTCTTCCGCCAATGAATTTGCGTTCTGGTTTCCGTGTCTTCTTCCTCTTAGTCCCATGGCAAATAAAATAATCACTTTGTTTTGTAACACCAGTTCTCAGGAAGCCAAACTTCAGATGAGCCCTCAGTGGAGATTGCTGACTCTTCCTGCCCTGCTGTTCTCCTATTATTGTTTACCAAAATATGTGACCTTCTCAGAGAAGCCATCCTGGCAGGTTAGAAATGACTGACAGCTTCCCCGTCGGGGGAGGCGGGGGGTTCATTGGGCGCCTTTGGAGAGCACTTGCTTCCGGGGACTCTTAACACAGCCTCCTTGGGCAGCATTCTGGCTTTTTGGATTTAGTAGCTTCCCTCGTGGGGTAGTTTTCATAGCTTTCTATGAACCTCACTTTTTACCATCCCACAATCAGATTTCACACTCACATATTATTGTAATAGTAAAGAATAGTCATTGGAATTACTGGGTTATTGAGGGCTTACTTTATGCCAAAGTACATGCTCTGGAATTAAAGAGTTTAAGAGTATTAGCTGTTCCTATATTTTCTTTTGTGATTTTCCTGTTCACATACCCTTGCCCATTTTTTTAGTAACAACATATGCCCCTGTATAAGTTACATTCTAACAACTTATTAACTTTCATTTACATGTAAATTATTTTATTACACTAATATTCTTTTTATAAAATTAAAATACAGATAAGCAAAGGATCATTAAGATCCCCTGTAAACCCACAAACCAGAAATAATCAATGCTCATATTTGAAGATGTCAATCAATGTTCCTATTGCAATATGTGTATTTGTATTTTTAAATTGGAATACATTATATTTCTACATGTTCACTGGTGCACATAGGAAAAAATTCATGCTCATTGTAAGCATGTAAACTCAATACAGAAATATAAAAGGTAAAAGTGAAAATTCCCTTTGTTCTCATCCCACCCACCCAATCCTATTCCCCCTTTTGTGGGTAACCATTTATCAGACATTTGGTGTATATTTCTGGATTCTTTCGTATGCATCTAATACATATTTATCGTTTTTTTAAAGACCATAAATGGGGTCAGACTTTACACTCGCCTATGCTGTTGGGTTATTTTGATTAATAGTATATTATGGAACTCTTTCTGTGACTGTATTTTCTTTTTAAGGTTTATACAGTATTACAGAATACAAACACTATACTATATTTTATTTAGCCAACGTTTGAAATGTTACCAATTTTTCATTGTTGCATATAATGCTGCAATGAACAGCATTCCTGTATATTTTTGTGCGAGGATTTCTGCAGGATAAATTCTTAGAAGTAGAATAATTGGTTCAAAGGACACTCTTACATCGTCTTTGAAAAAGCAGTGTACATGTTCTACTTGCATAAGTTACATAGTAGCAACTTATTTCCTTTGATTTACATGTAAATTATTTTATTACACTGGCATTAGAATATTAGGGCACTGATTTCCTGACACCCTTGCCAATGTTGGACATTTCTAATTTTTGCCAGTCTGTAATGGAATGTGTTACTGTTCCCTTCCCACCATGAATTTCCCCTAATTCTACTAACAGAGCCTGACTTTACTTTAGCAAAATAGCTCTACCTCCCCTCTCAGTCCCTGTGAGTAGGTGGGATAAAACTATCCCTTATTCCAGAGGAGACCATGTACTCAAGCTGAGCCAATGAGGTACTATTTCCGTGGAATTTACATCTTAAACAGAGTAAGATGGTTCCCGATAGCAGGTGAAGGTCATTCATCCCAAAGGCACTGCTCAGATAAGACCAACTTCTACCCCTGAATCTTCCCTGCTTCTTATAGTTTCTAAGGTCCTCCAACTTCCCTTTAAATGAACTAATTTAGATTTGCTGCAAGTCTGCTATATCACATGGGATTGCTACCTTTTTAAGGATAGATCTCTGACAAACTTTTCTGTCATTATTGGTCTGGTCAGGTTTTTCTATCTCTTTTTGAGTCAATTTTGAAATATCTTACTTTCCTCGGAAATCATCCATTCTATTGGTGTGCAGCTGTACATTGTACTGTTTTTCTTCTTTTTTTGGTAATAATTTTTGTGTTTGTACTTATATTGCCCTTCCTACCTAGCTTTTGGTCTTTCTTTATCAGTTAGATGTGTTCATCTGGAAATAACAGGAAACCATGATTCAAACTGGCTTGAACAATAAGGAAATGTATTGTCTCACATAAAAAGTTCAGAGACAGGGTGTCTCCAGTACATCAGGACTTACGTCCACCTTTCTGTAATTCTTTGTGCACTGCCCTCGGGCTAGCAGCAAAATGATTCTACCAGTTCTAAGCATCATAACCAAATATCTGGACAAGGAAAAGGACTGTCTCTTCTGTGTGTCTCTTAAGAGTGAGGAAACCTTTCTCCAGCAATCTTTTCATTCTATCATCTTGATTAGGAGTGGATCACAGGCCCATTCCTAAATCAGTCACTAGAAAGGGGAATGAGATTACCTACCATAACTTACTTACCTTAGTCATTTTGAGATGGATTGATTGTTGGAGAATCAACCACTTTGACCACTATATCTGTTTATCTGAATCAGACTTGATAAATGTTTGTCTATAGTCTTGTCACAGCTTTCAACTTGTTGATCGAGTCTTTGCCTTTTGTTTGTTTTCTAATGCATTATTTCTTTATTCTACTTGATTTTAGATTTACTGTATTGCTCATTTCATTTGTTTTCAAACTTCTGTTTAAAAAAAAATTCAAAAAAGGCTACAACTTTTCCTGTTATTGCTATTTTGGCTGCACCCACTAGATTTTGAGATGTACTCCTGTCTTTGTTGTTTCTTTCTAAATAGTTTATAACTTTAGCTTTATTTTCTTCTTAAAGTTTATTTAGAAGACTATTTTATTTTGTTTGGTTTATTTCCAAGGTGAATGAGAATTATGTATTTTTTTGTTATTTTCCACTTTTATTGCACAGCAATGTGGTCTATATGATTTTTCTGCATGTGAGTGTCTTTAAATGTATATGTGACAAAAATGCTTTCTTTCAGTTTTGAATTAATTTTTTAATTTCTGTTAAATTATAACACACACACATAATTTGGATTGTGTGACAGACTACAAGGCATATAATAAGAAGTAGCTGTTTCCTACCCCTTCCCTTACATCCCTTCAGTCCTGTTCCCCAGAAGCAATTATTTTCAACAATTTTAAGTATGTCTTCCATTAATTTTCCTCCATATTTCCAAATAATACAATATGCTTCTATTTCTTGGTTTTTCAATATTAGATATTATCCAATTGATATCCTGTTTTAGAATATGAAGATTACTCTTACTATACCATGGTTACTTACTTTCTCCTTTCCTTATGCAGGGCTCCAGTATAGCTTTATTTTACAACTACCATTTACAATTTTACAACTATTGTTTGTTACTGAGACAAAGAGTATTCTCTGATTGCACTTCCTTTCCTGAACAATCTTTCCCTCCAGCCAGAGATAACTACTTCATTTTTGTCATTTGTTTCATTTTCAATGTGCCTATTAGCTTTTCCCAGTTTTTCTAAAAACATTCTGAAGCAGCTTAATACTCTTTCCCATGTGGTTAAATACACAAAATAGTTTTCCAGTTGTGCTTTTTTTTTTTAATTCATTCTCTGGAAAACCCTCCCGGAATTCTCTGTTCTTCAACACTAATATGGATTGCTTGATTTCTAGGCCCCTCACATAGCTGCTGTCCTGGGACTTCCCTTCATCTGTCATTTGTATTAAATTCCCTTTTTCCTGAACTTATGTCTTCCTATTTCTTGGTTTACTTCCTTGCTTGACTAGAGGATGTTTGCCAGGACATTCTGAGAAAGGGTGTCTGGGTGGCATTGCAGATGCCATTGATGCCACGCCTCATATTCACTTGACTCACCTGAGTTCACCTGCATCTGCTTGCTGGTTTAATTTTTCCTGAGAATTAAACTATGGTGAGGGGAAATTAGTAACCTGGGGCACACCTACTCTCCTTGGGTTGGAGAGAAGCCCTAAGGATCTAACTTCCCCTTATACAGACATCCCAGCTGCCTTCTTATTTTTAAAATCATTTCTGATCTACAGCTTGTGTTGTACCTAATTCCTCCAATACCTGAACCTTTCCTGGGATCTTTCAGGAACATTATCTTGCTTATCATTAACATTTCTCTCTTCAAACTCAGTTCCCTATAACTCAATTTTCTATGACAACATGACTAAGATTTGGGGTCATCCCAACATTACTGTAGATATTAAGCAAAATATTGTAATGGTTGAATACTAAGGAGAGATCTTTATACTCTTTTTATCACAGTAAGATCTGTTAACAGTCCATTTTATTAGTCTTTTCACAGAATTAACTTTTGATTTTTTAATCGTCTTCTCTTTCATTTGCTTTCTATCTTATAC